GACTTTGACTTAAATTTAGTGGATCTAAATTCTAACCACATCTAAATTCCAGACACATGGGAATGGGTCCCTTGAATTTATTTTATAATGTGAAAGTCAACAAAATTTTAGCGGTTAACAATTAACTAACATGCGGTAGACGTATACCGAAAAAAAAAAAAAAAAAAAAAAAAAAAAAAAAAAAAGCAGAAGAAGAAGAAGAGGAAGAAGAAGAAGCCGACGACGAAGAAAATCTCAAATTTTTGTGTATTTGGGCAAATTGAAATTTTTTATATCTGTCAATTAGTTGATATCCCGGATATTATGGACTTTCTCCAAACTCAACATGTACACTATGAATGAAGTCAAGAAAAAATAACAATTGAGTTCAAAATTAGGCGATTATTGAATATAATGGACAATGAGTTACACTATAGTAATGTTATTATCTTATTTATCACTTTTCAATGTCAAAATTTTTACTTCTAAGTTCTAATTAGAGGTTGATAAAATATAAAATTAAAAATTTTATCAATTAATAAATTTTGCACCTAACCAATGCAATTGTTTATTCCTCTTTGAAGAGTAATATAATGGACAAATTACACAAAGGACCCCTCAGGATTTCAACTTGTACATGTAAATAGAAAATGGTCACAATATAACATAAAGGTCCAAATTAACTGTTTGTGGTTAGTGGATTGATTTGAATTTACATTTTGTCCTTAAAGTTAAACTATTTGTTTAATAAAAAAATCTAAATTTTTTTTTGTGTATTGTTAAAGTTACAATTTTGCCCCTAAGACTTCATCACCAAATTGCAAAAATCACAAAATTATCTACAACAGAACCAATCACAAACCCCAATACAATATCTTTTATTTTTTTTTTTATTAAAAATAAATATTTTAATTTTAATGTTAAAAGTGTAAATTTGTGTTGATTTTTTTTAGTCAAACGATCCATATGAACCTTTGTGTAATATTGCTATAACTTCTATCTACATACACAATATCGAAATCTCGTGAGTGATTTGTGTAATTTGCCCTAATATAATTTGTTCATTTTGCGAACATGGTGCTTTTTGTTGATAAACTATAATTTGATTTGATATAGTGTAAATTGTGAAATGTAACTTATTCATAATTATTTTAATGAATAAAATTAAAATACTTTGAGAAAGTATAAGTTCATAATTCAAATAAATCAATTTATAAGTTAAAGGACGAGAAAGTACTTTTTACTTTAATTTGGAGTGTCATTGTTTAATTTATCAAATTTAGGATGCCATTATTTAAAAAGTGTCATAGTAATTACTTATTTTTAACCTGAATCTGAGAAAGTACGTCAGAGTGTAATTTATCCAAAAATACTACTCCCTCCGCCCCTTATTAGTTGTCCATCTTTAATTTTATAATTTTTTAAGGTGACATGTAATTAATGCATTATTTTCTTTTTAAATTACTAAATTATACCTTAAACATTTAATATATATAATACTAAGTTGTAAGATTTTTGAAAAATTAGAAAGGTAATTATGAAAAGACAACATTTATTTTATTTAACTTTTCAAAATAAACATTTAATTTGTAACACTCTAAAAAAATAAATTACTAATATAGGACAGAGGGAGTAAGTGTAACGGTGTGCTGCTTTTGTTGAATGGGTAAGTGTAATACCCCGTAATTAATTAAAGAGTTTAGTTTATTTAAATTCAATTATGTGTGGATTCCTTTACCTATTATTGTGCATGCTACATTGTTATATTAAGTTCATTTAATGGTGCATGTAAATTAATTGTGTATGTTAAAATAGTAAATGTATTCATTTAATTGTGCATGTATTATTATAATTAATTTTATTTGTTGATTATGTTTAATTAAGCAATATTAGTTAATTAAAGTATTATATTTGTGTTATAAAGTATTATGATGATATAATGTATTCTTATGTAATAATAATAATAATTATTATAATAGTTTAATAATAATAATAATATAATAATAATAATAATTATAAAAGTTTATTAATAATAATAATAGTTATAATAATAATAATAGTTATAATAATAATAATAGTATTAAACCAATGTCATGATGAAATTAGAGATTAGGATAGGATTTCATCAATGTTTATGGGTGGACTTGAAGCCATATGGTTGGGAAGGTGGTTAGTAAATGTAAAAATTAGATATTTGTAATATTTATATTATATAATTTGTATATAAATTAGCTAGCCTACCTTAGAAGGAAGGAAAGGGAGTTAGACACAAATTATAAATTTTAGTAAGCCATTGTAAAAGTGTGGAAAGGAAGAGAAAGAAAGAAAGGAGCTTGGACCGGTGTAGGAAAAATTTACCCGATTACGCGCAACCGGCGGATTTATTTTAAATCCAAAAAGGCAAGTTATTATCTATTTTTTCCCTTTGAATCCATAAATTAATTGTTTAAATTATTTAGATTATGATGGAGCATTGAGAGCATGCTTAAATTTTATTAAATGATTTTTTTTAGTTTATTAAATTAATGAATTTTTAATTATTTAGGATGGTATATAATTAGTTATTATCCTATGATGTTCAAAATAGCTAAAAATATTTCCTTAAGGCATTAGGGATTTTTTTTAGAATTTTTAGGAATTTTTCGAGCATTTTCTGCAATTTCCGGCGACCTTCCAGCGAGTTTTCCGGTCGCCGGCAATGGGGGAGACGACCGGAGTGATCCGGTGTGATGCGGCGCACCATAGGAGGGTATGCGCGCGCATCTGGACCATTAAACAGCAGCGATTGATCCGGTGCACCGCGGTCCATGTTACCGCGGTACACCCGGATCCGTGAGCGTTGGATGGAGGGAAGGTAGGTGGATCAATCCAGTGTAGCGCGCCCACATAGAAACGGTACAACCGACCAACCAGCACACGCCGCGTCATCAAGATGCATTAGTGCGCGTGTGGCAGCGCGTGCGCGCGCGTGGGAGGTTCTAGACGCGCGTGAAGGCACGTGTAAGCGCGTGCGCGTGTGGGAATAGTGGAGGCGCATGTGGGAAGCTCTGGGAGGCGCGTGGGGGCGCGTGAGGGACCTCTACAGCTACTGGAAAAGTCCAGAATACCCCTAAGGCCTGTTTTGTAAATTCCAGAACCTTAAACTTGGATTTTTAGGTACTGTGTTGGTATTTACGGGTTTAACGGGCCACGAAATTATTATTTTAATACCCGTTAATTATTCTTGTGGCCAATTAGTCTTTTCTAAGCATTTATTTGCTCGTTTACAGTACGGATATGAATGTGATTCATTTAAACAACATTACTATAGGTGGTGTTATTATTTTGTTAAATGGTATTCATTAGTACTGTTAATAATGCCATGGTTTTCGTTATATAAATTATCCATGTTATATTATGGGATGTTTATACTGTTAATCATATATAAATCATGATTATTATGCTGTGTGCATTTTAGAGAATAAATGGACTGTTTAAATTATGACACATTTATTTTATATGGATGTGTTGCCATATAGAACCATGTGAGCTGGCTAATAAGTTTAGACTCATTCATACCTTATGCATTCGTTGCGATAGACAGATGTGTGGCTGTCGGGGTATGTGGTTTAATATTATTGGCATGTGTTGCCTAATTGACATACTCGGTATATTTATTAATATTGTTGGCATGTGTTGTCTAATTGATATGCTCAGTATATTCATCAGTACTTTGAGAGGTGTTATCATTGTGTAGTTCGTTATAGTCTGTGTTGTCAGTACCGTGCACCATGTATAATAGCTGATTTCCCGGGTTGGGAAAGGCGACATTTAACCACCTAGTGTGAGTCTAAGTGATCACCGTCTATTCTGGTTGAGGTCATGTTATACATTGGATAGTTCCCTTAGGATGTATACAGATATAGTACTCAACCGATTCATAATGATTAATTTATTTGATTCTCTGATTTGGGTCATAGTAGAGAGGACTTGCTCGTGGGGTTGACCCACCATTGTTGTTATTTCATGATACGGTCAGTACCCGTTCCAAGGTTGAGGTTAGCAGTGTGGGACCACCATCCGAACTCATCTACTCTTACGATCCAGTTCAGGGTAGAAGTTTTATGTATTACTTCAGTTTCAGTTTTTATTTACTTTTGACGTTGAACTCTCAGGGTTATATTCAGGGATCCTTGACATAGGATTTCCAAGTTGTAATGAAGTACGGTATTAAATAAATGATGGATGGATGTTGTATTATTTAGTGTTCCTTTCCTGTCTAAATTCTTTTATTATCATCATTTTGTATTCCATGCTTGTATATTGCCAATTGTTTTTGATATCCCTCGTTTTTCGTGTATAAGCCTGATCAACTTATGCGTGGAAAATGTGGGGGTGTTACAGTAAGGTTTGTAACGGTGAGGTTGCTTGTATGGAAGTAGTGGAATAATAAGAATGTGTGGACAAAGTATAAGCAACCAAATAGGGCCCCACTACACATGCATATGGGTCCCCGGTACTACCATGAGCAACTCTTCCACGCATACTTATTATTCTACCACTTATGTGTCCATACAAGCAACCTCACCGTTACAATTCTATTGTTGACCACATGCGAATTAGGGCCCTACTGTGTCAATATAAGAGGTCCACATTTCTGATCAATTACCTCCGATTGGGGCCCCACTGCACATGCGAATGAGCAGTGACGTGTGTGGTTTGAAGTCCATAAAAAGGGTTAAATTCACCACGTATAGTATTCAAAGTCTTTTAAAATTTTAAAACAAATAAGATGAAATTTCACCGGAAAGAACTTAGAAAAAAGAGTTCCGTGTAGTAATTGCTTAGAAAAGAAAGAGCTAAATTTTCGTAATATGGTGGTCCCTCAGCCGATTAGTCATGTTTTGGGAAAGCTACTATCATCCAATTAGACAAAATTATCACAGTTTTCTTCCAATTTGGGCCCCACTGCACATGCGAATGAGTTGGCCATATGCTATCCATCCAATTAGACAATATTGTCACTGCTTTCTTCCAGCAGATACCACCTTGGTTCATTGAGATCCATCTTTTGCATTTTGAAACCATAATCAACTCTCTTTGCTTACTAACTAACAATGGCAGAGATACTTGTTCAAATTGTGTTGGAGCGTTTGCTCTCTTTCGTAGAGGGGGAGATTGGATTGATATGCAGTGTTGATAAGGAGATGAAAAAGCTTTCCAGCAAGCTCACTACAATCAAGGCAGTTCTCGAAGTTGCTGAGCAGAAGCAACTGCAAGACAAGCTGATTCAGATTTGGTTGCGGAAGCTCAAACAAGCAGTTTATGAAATTGATGACGTCTTGGACGAGAGCACAACCGAAGCCGCGCAATTGGAATTTAAACGCCACAATTCTGGATCTTTTAATAAGGTACGTGCTTGCTTCTTATCTTGATATTCTAGTCCAGACAATTTTCAATTTCGTCATAGGATTGGAAATAAAATGAAAGAGATTAACGAGAACTTGGATGCAATTGCTAATGAGAGGACGCAATTTCATTTGCAAAAGGGTGGTTGTGGTGAATAGAGTTGAAATTCCTGAATGGCGCGAGACCAGCTCTGTTCTAAATAAAGAAGATGTGGTGTATGGAAGAGAAAAGGACAAAGAAAGTATCATCAAACAGTTGGTGATGCATGCAAGTGAGTGTCAGGGTGTTTCCGTCCTTCCTATACATGGTATTGGAGGGCTCAGAAAGACCACGCTTGCTCAACTAGTGTTCAATGATGAAAGGGTAATTAAGCATTTTGAGCCGAGAATTTGGGTTTGTGTTTCAGAAGATTTTGAAGTGAAGAGGGTCTTAAAACTAATTATAGAATCAGTATGTGGGGAATCTTGTGATATTTCAACCTTGGATCTTCTCCAAAGGAAGCTTCAAGATAAGTTGAATAGACAAAAGATATTTGTTGGTTTTAGATGATGTGTGGAATGATGATGAACAAAAGTGGGACACCTTAAAATCTATACTTGCATATAGATCAAGGGGTGCTTCAATTATTACCACTACCCGTCTCGAAAAGGTGGCATCAATTATGGGAACGCTCCCTGTACATCAGTTGTCGGGTTCATTAAAAGATGATTGTTGGTCATTGTTCAAGCAAGGTGCATTTCAAGTCAACGATGAAACTCCAAATCTTGTTGTGATTGGGAAGGAGATCGTGAAGAAGTGTAGGGGAGTGCCTTTAGCTGCAAAGGCTTTAGGAAGATTAATGCACTTCAAAATTGAAGAAAGTGAGTGGCTTCATGTTAAAGAAAGTGAGATTTGGAATTTACCACAAGATCACAATGAGAGGTATATAATGCCTACATTAAGATTGAGTTACCATAACCTTCCATCGAAATATAGGCAGTGTTTTGCCTACTGTGCCATATTTGAAAAAGATTCTAGAATTGACAAGGGTGGTGTAATTCATTTATGGATGGCCAATGGTTTCATTTCGTCTAATGGGATAATGGAATTGGAGGATATTGGTAACCAGATATGGAATGAATTGTATTGGAGATCTTTCTTCCAAGAGGTAGAGAATGATGATTTTGGCAACGTTAGAAGTTTCAAGATGCATGATCTTGTTCATGATCTTGCCCAATCTATTATGGAAGATGAATGTCACGTGATGAAGGTTGAAAGGCCAAATAATAAACCAAAGAGGAGTGTTCGTCACGTCATATCCGTTTATGACAATGAAGCATTATAAAATATTGAATCGTTGAGAACATTATTTGTGAAAATATTTCCTCATGACTTTATGAAATTTAGTATCTTACGCATTTTGAATGTAAGTGGAGGTTTCATAGATAAGGTTCCATACTCAATTGACAATCTAATTCATTTAAGGTACTTGAATCTTTCTCGCAATTATGGGTTGAGGACACTTCCGGAGTCATTATGCAACCTATTAAATTTGCAGACCTTAGACCTTAACGAGTGCATGAGTCTTGGAAGGTTACCCAACCACATGGGACGCATGATCAATCTCCGACATCTATTTATGGAAGGCTGTGATGATCTAACAGAAATGGCTCCAAAAATTGGGCAGTTAACCAACCTCAAATCATTAAGTATTTTCATTGTGGATGGGAGGAGAGATATTCATTTGGGTAAGCTGCAAGGGTTAAACCTGGGAGGAAAATTATCTATTAAGCATCTGGAGAGGGTGGAGAATTGGGTGGATGCAAGAAAAGCAAACGTAGACCAGAAAAAAAACCTCTACAGCTTGTTAGCTATAGTTTCAATTAACTAAATAATTTCTAAGTAAAGAGATGAGAGAAACAAATATTGTATTGAATTGAATTTTTGTTGTGTTCATATCTTAACAACAAATACATTACCCTATATATACTATTCTTCTATAGACCTTTGAACTTTTCAAGACAATCTCAACCACACACATGATACATGCACACACTTGATACATGTACACTCTTGATACATGTATCCACTTGATACATGTACAATAATAGATGCATGAATAAACATATACATGAATGAACATGAAATTAATTATTTTTAACACACCCCCCTTAATGCCATGTTGTGACAGCCAACAATTCTCTACAGTATTCAAACTTATTTTTTGGAAGTGCTTTGGTAAAAATGTCCGCAACTTGGTCTTCTGTCTTACAATACTTGAGTTGAATCTCTTCATTCTCCACGGCTTCTCTAATGAAGTAATGTTTGATTGCAATGTGTCTTGTGCGACTATGGAAAATAGGATTCTTTGTCATAGCAATTGCGGATTTGTTGTCACATAAAATTGGAGTAGCTTCCCTTTGCTTCTCACCAACATCTTCAAAAATTCTCCTGAGCCATATTGCTTGTGACGCTGCCATTGATGCTGAAATATACTCAGCCTCAGCAGAAGATTGCGCAACCGTTTCTTGCTTTTTAGATGCCCATGAAAATACACCCGAACCAAGAGAGAATGCATAACCGGAAGTACTTCTCATATCATCAACAAATCCGGCCCAATCACTATCACAAAAACCAAACAACTTTGCATCAACATTTTTCTCATACAAGATACCAAAATCAAGTGTACCTTGTATATATCTCAATACCCTCTTTGCAGCCCCAACATGAATTTGAATCGGATTGTGCATAAACCGAGATAATAAGCTTGTAGCATACATGATGTAGGGTCTTGAACATGTCAAATATAATAGACTTCCAACCAAGCTTCTATAGAGAGATGCATCCGCTTCTTTACTTCCATCTTCTTTCATCAATTTTTCATTCACAACCAAGGGAGTGCAAACGGATTTGCAATTCAACATTTTGAATTTTTCAAGAAGAGTTTTTGCATACTTCTTTTAACAAATAAAAACTCCTCCTTCTTTTTGATAAATTTAAATGCCCAAGAAGTAATGCAACAAACCCAAATCACTCATTTCATATTTTTTCATCATCTCTCTTTTAAAATCATCAATCATTTTTTCATCACTTCCGGTAAATACCAAATCATCAACATAAAGAGAAACAATAAGAATCCCAGTTTTACCTTGTGTCTTGTAGTACAAGGTTGGCTCATTTTTGCTCCTTTGAAAGCCTTTTTTGATGAAGTAAGAATCAATCTCACTATACCATGCCCGGGGTGCTTATTTTAGGCTATACAAAGCCTTCTTTAATTTGTAAACTTTCTCTTATTCTCCTTTTGTAACAAAGTCTTGAGGTTGTTCTACATAGACATCCTCTTTCAAAATACCATTCAAGAAGGCTGATTTTACATCAAGTTGATACAAGGACCAACCATTTTGAGCCGCCAAGGCAATGAGTGCTCTAATTGTGTCAAGACGAGCCACGGGTGAAAAAGTTTCTTGAAAATCAATTCCGAGCTGTTGTGAATACCCTTTTGCTACAAGTCTTGCTTTGTTCTTTTGAATGGAGCCATCCGGATTGAATTTTTTTTTAAAAATCCATTTCACACCAATCGCATCTTTGTCTTCCGGCTTCTCTACTAACTCCCAAGTCTTGTTCTTCTCAATCACATAAATTTCATCTTCCATAGCTTTCTTCCATGCCTCTTGTTTAATTGCTTCTTCAAAGTTCTTCGGTTCAACAACACAAAAATTGCAACTTGCATACACATCACTAAGACTTTTCATTCTTCTTGGAGTTGAACTTGGAGATGAGGAATTTGAGTTTGATGGAGAAGTTGGGATGGATTGTAAGCTAGATACGGGAGACATTTCTTGTGGAACTTCAAGAAAATCTTCATTTTCATTTTCTTGATTTCCTGATTCTTCATTGAAAATGGGGATTTGATCTTGAACTTTCTTCTCTTTCCAACCCCAAGTAGCCTTCTCATTAAAGAGAACATCTCTACAAATAATCAATTTATTCTTCTTCAAATTAAAGAGTCTATAGCCCTTTGATTTTGAGCTATAACCCACAAAGATGCATTTTTCACTAGCTTCATCAAGTTTGTGCCTCACTTCTCTTAGAACATAAGCAAAACAAATACACCCAAAAACTTTCAAGTGTTTCAATGATGGCTTCCTTCCACTCCATGCTTCAAATGGAGTTTTATTCTCCACCGCTTTTGTTGGACTCCTATTCATCAAGTAAACAGCCGTATACACGGCTTCACCCCAAAATGATTTAGGTAGCCCCTTCTCATGAAGCATTGATTTTCCTATCTCAATGATTGTTCTATTTTTCCTTTCTGCCACTCCATTTTGTTGTGGAGTGTACCCAACCATTAATTGTCTCTCCAAGCCAATATCTTCACAAAACTTTTCAAACTCATTTGAGTTATATTCTCCACCTCTATCACTTCTTAACACTTTGATAAGATGGCCACTTTGCCTTTCAACAAGCTTTTGAATTTTTTTGAAAATAGAGAACACATCTGATTTTTGTCTCATGAAATAAATCTATGTCATTCTTGAAAAATCATCAACGAAAATAATAAAATACTTGTTACCCGCTTGAGTTGGTGTTGTCGTCGGTTCACACACATCGGTATGAACAAGCTCCAATGGTGCTTTAGCCCTCCATGCCTTCTCTTTCGGAAATGACTCTCGGTGATGCTTGCCAAGAGCACAACCTTCACAAACTTCTTTAACTTCTTGTATTGTTGGCAACCCATAGACCATGCTATTTTGTTGTAAATTCTTTAAGCTTTGGAAATTCAAATGGCCAAGTCTTCTATGCCAAAGCCAAGACTCATCAACAACATCCATCTTTAAGGCCATATTTTTTGAACATGAAAAAGTGAGAGGAAAGCTTCTATTTTTGCCCATCTTGATTTTTGCTACAATATGATTTTGTCCTCCCTTGTCATAAATTTTGCAAGAGTCCTTATCAAAATGAATGGAGTACCCATGCTCTACAAGCTGTCCAACACTTAACAAATTTTGCTCCAAATCCGGAACAAGTAACACATCCCGAATATGCTTTCTTCCTTTTTTTTGTCTCTATGGCAATAATACCTTTTCCCTTTGCTTGGACCAAGGCATCGTTTCCCATCCTCACTTGAGAATTGGATGAAGAATCAATCTCCAAGAATATGTTTTTATCTCCGGTCATGTGGTTACTACACCCACTATCAAGAAACCACACATCATCATTTTGTTCCGATGTCGAGTGACAAGCATAAAACATGCTCGTTTCACCTTCTTGCTCTTCGAAAAAATTAGCTTGCTGATTTATTTTCAACCGGCAAACTATTTGAACATGTCTAAATTTCTTGCAATTGAAACATTGAGGTTTTCCCCGAAACCAACAATCTTTGTCAACATGGCTACTTCTCTTGCAAATTCCACAATTTTGTTGAGTGGACTTTATATTTCCACTTCTTTCAAAATTATTTCTTCCTCTTCCTCTTGAATTTCTTCCTCTTCCTCTTCCGTGTCTTCCACCTCTAGAAGATTCACCTTTGGATCGATCAAAACTTGATGGGTATTTTTCTTGATTTTTGGAACTAACATTGAGCTTGGATTGAAAAGCACTTTCAATTGTCTTTTCGGAGCGCCTACTCAACCTTTGCTCAAATGCTTTTATGGAACCCATCAATTCTTCAACACTCAAGTTTTCAAGCTCTCTAGGCTCTTCAATAACAGCAACAATAGAGTCATATTTTTCCGGCAAACTAATCAGAATTTTTTCAACAATTCTTTGATTAGAAATATCTTCCCCATAGGTCTTCATTTGATTTACCACCTCCATAAGTTTAGAAAAATAATCTTTCAACAACTCCATTTCTTTTTTCATATTTTCAAAATCTCTTCTCAAAGATTGGAGTTTTACAGTTCCTACCTTCGTGCTGCCTCTATACTCCTTCTCGAGAATATCCCATGCCTCATTTGCTTTAGAAGCATTGATAATTCTGGGAAAGATTGTATCAGCAACTCCTTGTTGAATCAAGCCTAAAGCTTTTGCATCTTTCTTCTTATGATCTTTCAATTGTTGTCTTTGGGCATTCGTCAAAGTTGTTGTATCATCCGGTTCATCATACTCATCTTCAACATAATCCCATAAATCATATGAGAGAAAAATGGTTTTCATCTTCACATACCAAAAATCATAATTTTCCCCATCAAAAATGGGAAGTGCTGATTGATGGGCACCTTGGTTTTGATTGCCTGTAGTCGCCATCACGATGGATCTTCTTCGGAGTTTGTTTTCCCGTCAATAAGCTTCACGCCCAGTTTGCTCTTGATCGAAATCAGGCTCTGATACCATTTATGTTGGCTATAGTTTCAACCAACTAAATAATTTCTAAGTAAAGAGAGGAGAGAAACAAATATTGTATTGAATTGAATTTTTGTTGTGTTCATATCTTAACAACAAATACATTACCCTATATATACTATTCTTCCATAGACCTTTGAACTTTTCAAGACAATCTCAACCACACACATGATACATGCACACACTTGATACATGTACACTCTTGATACATGTATCCACTTGATACATGTACAATAATAGATGCATGAATAAACATATATATGAATGAACATGGCATTAATTATTTTTAACACAGCTTGCGTTTGGGTTGGAATCGTGGAAGTGAATCAGAAAATGCTGAACGGGTACTAGATTCTCTTAAACCTCACCCAAATCTTAAAGAGTTGATCATACAAGATTATCCAGGTACCTCTTTCCCACGCTGGATGAGTGATCTAGTACTGCTTCAAAATTTAGTTGCTGTTTCACTTTATGGTTGCAAAAATTGTCAAAGTTTTCCACCATATAGTCGATTGCGTTGGTTGAAACATCTTCAGATTTATAGCATGCCATGTTTGGAAAGGTTGTCAAGAGGGGAAGAAAAAGATGTATTTCCTTGTCTTTCTCGACTGTTTATTCATGATTGCACGAAGTTGACATTGATGTCATGCCTTCCGTCACTCAAAGATTTAAAAGTAGATGGATGCAGTGATGTCTTATTGAGTTCCATCTCAAACCTCAGTGCTCTTGAGTCACTGGTGATCAGGAGTTGTGATGAGATTGAGTCATTACCCGAACAAGGATTACAAGGCCTCAACTCTCTTCGTTCTTTAGAGGTTCGCTGCTGTAGAAAGTTGAAGTCCTTGTCTGAGGGACTGCAACACCTCAAAGCCTTTGAGAGTTTGACTCTTCTTGGATGCGGCGAGCTCGTTTCTCTGCCGGAGGGTATTAAACACCTCCATTCCCTTAGAAATCTGCAAATATTAGATAATCCCAAGTTGGTGGTTTTGCCGGAGGCCTTACACCATGTCCCTGCACTGCAATCTCTATCGGTCAATTTTTGTAGAGAGCTAACATCGTTGCCTGACTGGTTGGGAAATCTTGCATCTTTTCAATCGTTGTCAATTGTGAGTAGCCCTAAGGTTGTGTCACTTCTAGACAGCATTCAAAGCCTAACCAATCTCACAACTTTGTCAATTTGGGGATGTGGTGAACAACTCAAAAGGAGATGCGACAAGGGAAGCGGGGAGGATTGGTATAAGATACAACACATACCACGTGTCAATGACTGAGATGGCACAAATTACAAACTGTTGATGTTACAAAAGGTAACTTCTTCTTAATATTAAATATATCTATACATATTTGTGTTATAATGTATAATACTACCGGGTCAATCTTGCTTACATTGTGTTCGGACTTCACATCATTTGATTAGATAAATTAAACAAATCCTCTGCTCGAAGTAGAAGTAATTTCTCATTGTTTAACTAAAATTTATGTGAATTTTGCAAAAACAAAAGTGCAAACAAATTTCAATATGCTGTCATGTTTCTTGATAATGTCATCTCCTTTTGTCTCAATATTTTTATTATGCATATTGGTCAACAATATCAAACAAGGAATGGTTACACATATGGCTAATAAGTTATTATAGATACAACACAATTAACTTGCTCTTCGTTGTTTTTATTTTTTTTTGTAAGTACTAATAGTTTGAACATTTGATTGTAGATGACAGGATATCGATAATAAGAATAAGGGTTCGTGACTTTATGACATTTTTTCACATACATTTTAGAGGTATGTAATTTTGATTTTTTCTTATTAAAAACTTTCCACTAGGCATTGCTCTTCTCTGGATAACTCTGAAAACACTGCAGAACTGTAATTTCTTAAGGTTTTATATATTTATTTGGTATTCTAAACTCTTCCTTCTTCTATTTTTATTTATTATTATTATTATTATTATTATTATTATTATTATTTTTTGTCCTAATGTTTCTCAAATACAATCTGAATCTATTAATAGCCAATATATGTTTGTAGGAACTTAGCAACAAGATGAACGGTTCGGGACGGTCCTCCTTCATTGTGCATTTTCGATGTATGTAATTTCCAAAGTCTTCTCTTTGTTAATTTTTCTATAATTAATGTTGGCCATATATATATATTGGAAATTGGACGAGGACCATTATGTTGTTTCTTTGAGAAAGAATGCGTCCATGTAAGGTTTCGATTTATGACTATTTTTCTTCTAAATAGTAAATAGTTGATTTAGATATTCAACCTAAATCTATTATTCAAATTCTCCAACCCAAATTTTTGACAAACCAAATTTTTAATTGTTATTTAATCAACTGGATTTTAACTATTTTGTTTCAATTTTCATATAATCCATTAAAAGTGTATTCCAGATTCATCTATCCAATTTGGCAAAAAAACACATTTTAGTACTCTTTCAGGTCAATTTAAGTCCCATTTGGGGTTGCCTCATTCAATGAAACATGTTTTTGTAAAATTTTGCTTGCTTGTTTTTGCTGTCTTATTATCTCAATGCCAGTGATAAAAAATAAAGTATGTTGAGCTCTAAAATTTTTGTTGTAGTGAACTTTATACGTTGAAAGTATTCACTAGCACATTTTGTTCCCGACAGGAGATTAGCGCAGAGGTAATCCAACAAGTGTCAACTGATTCAAGAAGGCCAGGGATTCAGCATTTTGAAATGTATTGATTTGCTATTATTAACATAATTATTAATTTTATTTATTTATTTCTTATTTTTGATATGCTATTTATTTTAATATTGTGTTGTTGCCAGGAGATGAACAAATAGGTGACCATGATACTTGAAGACTACCTAGAAAAGTTGTGGTTTGTGGTTGCAATTTCAAGTGTTTGGCTTGGGATTTCAAGTGTTCTCAATTTAACTGATGCTGTCATTTGATTACACAAGATGAAGCAAATTTTTTTGCTTGAGATAGCATTATTCTTTCACAATGTAAAATTATCCAAAAAAATTCAGTCAAGGGAATGTGTCTACAACTGCATTGTGTATTGTTCGATAATCTGTTGTTTTTATTTTTTTGGTCGGTAAGCTGAGATTTTAATTAAAAGAAACCAAACACAGGTTTAAAAAATAAAAAAAATAAGCACCACGGAAAGAAAGACAAGATGAAGAAAATAGGAGCTAAACCATATGTCTACAACAATATAAGCAGCAACAATGCAAACTCAAGCAAGATGATACTATGAAAGCAAGGCCTCAAGTACAACAATATGTCTACAACAATATACATATACTTACTATCATGAAATTAAACATAAATCCTTCTTTCAGTAAATTATTGATAATTATTGTAAATAAAATCTAAACAGAATAACTGAAACAACAAGAGACAGAAAAGACGAGAACAATATAAATTTATGCACCATAAAAATGATACATTGAAGAATTTAGTCAAGGGTGGGTTTATGTCCGTCTTTGCAGAAACTGAACTTTTACAGTATGTGGATCCAATTCATTGCCGAACCAAACCCATGGATATATATATGCAATGGTTGATGACTGAAAGCCACGATCAGGCGCGCGCTTCATTTGAGCTATTAATCTATTCTGCTCACACTAGGCAACCTTTGAAACCTTTTCTTAGGGAAGTTTCATCCAAGTTCCTTCCTATAAAGACGAGCTTGTTTATCTTCTTCTCATCGGGTCCCCATGTCTTCCCTGGGCATCCATCCAAAGTGGAATGCACCCCCTAGAAAAACAGATGAACAAGAATTAGAGAGAAAGAGAACATATGAGATTAACTTGTACTCAATTCACTCGAGTCGCAAACAGTAATTAAGGTGGTGAGCACTTAGGTGACCTGAAAAACATAACGCTCGTGTGAATCCTTCACAGACAAAACTCCTTTCATCCTGTACAGGTCTTCCCCCTTTTCTTCAAGCAGTCAAGCCAATCATCAAGCTGAAGCATCATGTAAAACCAGAAAATAAGTTGCAGGCAGTGGGATCAAAATGCAAAACCAGACTAAAGTTAAATTTGGCTTATCAAAATGCAAAAGCAAAACCCATGGCTGAACTAACCGAAGAAGTGCCTACACTTCAAAGCATCAATCATTGTGCCGGAATCAAATAGATATAAAAATGCCAACAACCGTTTTACCACTTTCCACATTCATACAAGTTCAGTTTCTATTGGCACAGCCTAAAAACACCTCTAACCCTCCCAATTCAATGAGTAGCCACATTTCAAAGATACAAGTAAAATCTATCTATGTACAAGGTAAAAGCCTACCTGAATTCGCTTTGTCAACACCTCCAAGTCAGCCTCAGTCACCAAATCTATCTGCCAACATTATACAATGAAGTGCATAAAGATAGTAGAAAAAGAATTCATTGAATTCCAAAGGAAGTCATAATAAGTTAGGTAAAGTTCCTGGTTATTAAGAAGAAATCTAATACGGTCTGCATAGGCAACTTGTTCCACTACCTCATTAACAACAAATCTAGGTTTCACTTCATTCAAATGTTGTATGGCATGCTTAGAATCAACCAAAGTAACAACTCCATCAAGTTTCACATATCGTGAAACCAGCTCATCAGTACAAAATGTTTCAATCACCGGACCTGGCTTTGCAAGCCCTGTAAAATAACATTAAAAAAATCCATGAATATATCATATATATACCCTCAATACCTGCAGCTGGTGAAGTAAACAGCTGACTTTCAGGTTTTTGCCGGATGCAACTAACTAATCTTTAATAGGATGTATATTATATGAGAAGAAATAGCATCACACCCCTCTAAGGCGAGCCAAGAAGAACTGATGCTTCACAGAAAGCCAAATAAAGGAGAAAACAAATAAAAAAAGCTTTTCTTCCTTTGAGCAGGGCACTAATAGGAGTGTAAAAAAGCCTGTGAGACCCAGGCCTGTTGACTGGTCCAGGTCCCTTGCACAGAATGGACTGATGACACAAATCTGTTTAGCGCCATCACTCAACGAGGTTTTTCCGTCATACAAATCTCCAGTAGCCACAATAGAGACTTTTTTAAATCCAGGTGTTTTTGGGCCCTGTGAGTCGAACTCAAGGCGTCCGAGTTTATACTTTGCCCCAAGAAACTTATCCACTAGGCCACCCGTGCGGGTTCACCACAGTGGAGACTAGATGAGTAGTTCCCCCATTATAGGTTCAATATTTTCGATAAAGAAAATACTTGGGGCATTACTTTCTCATGCCTAGTAGGTTTCTTTTTTTCGGGTAAGTCTCATGCCTAGTAGGTTGAAATCCTTATTTCATCAATGTGCTAATAGGTAATTGGTAAATCGTGTGAAGTTGACCTTTAGTCTTATATCACCATGAACTTGCAACCCCTTTAATTGTGTGGTGCCTTCACAAAACAAACCTTCTTATTCAAAGGAGTAGAATAACAATCAAAAGGATTTTTCGTGGATGCAAGCCAATCAGGGAAAGTCATTTGAGGTCTATAAAAGCCATCAACTCATGGCATACTTCGTCATGTCACCAAATGTTATAAATTTCTAGGTCATTCCTTCTAGGTCATTCTTCATCCACACAGCAAATATTTGTCCAGAGCTAGGAAGCACGAATACTTCTACAAGAGTGACGTAACCGTATTGTGTCCATATCGGATACCGATACTCATACTCAGAGATACATGTCCAATACTTCCTAAACGTATCCATAATTTAAAAATATATATATATTTTTTCTAACATGTATATGATACTTCTCAGATACTTTGATCACGTAACCGATGCTTGTCAGACACTTCAAAACACATTTTAATAAGTCTTTGAAGATTAAAATGTAGTTTTTTTACAATACATGTCTGTGTGTTTCATCACATACATTTATAAATCTCATCAAAACCATATCTAACAATGGTACTACAGGTGTATACATTCATGGATCGTGTTTTAGATCACAAGGACATCAATACATATGATTAAAATCATAAAACAGTTTAATGCAACTATTACCACAGTTAAAGCATCATAAAGGAATAATTTCAACTTATTAATTGATTCAAGCCTTCTTCATTCATTCCCAAAGCATACTAAATTATATTAAACATTCTGGTACTTGTACAACCCCATTGGTTCAATTTAAGCCCCTTCAAAACATCAAATCTGAAGCAATCAACCAAACACAGCCCCTCTGTTCCAGGGGGTTTGGACGTTGACCGAGTTAAGCAAACCGGTCGACACCTAGCCCCCTATGCATCGACCGACAGCTGTTGTTCCCTGCTTCGCAGCTACCATTTCAGACCTGCAACTCCTTCGTTTCGGGTCCCATAACATGCGTCTATGTTTCAATTCATCTCCATATTTAATATAACACATTAATACATGCTAAAGCAAATTAAAACAGGGATTTAAAGCATTGATTCACATGTTTAATCATTATATACAAACTTATACAAACATTACCAGTAGAAGTTTTCTAAACATACACAGCAATAAGACAGATTTTAATCATCTTATTTACATCCCTAAAACCCTAGCATGTGATGCAAAGTCTAAAGGTTCAAAGGAGAAGAGTAGAAAAGGAACTTGCCTAATGATTTTTGGATTGAAAATCAACCGACAAGGTCTCTGTAAAATCTCCGGTCTTCTTCTCCAACTTCGGCAACTATATATTGCCTTCGTTCCCTCCTTCCTTTGGCCAATTCACCTTCTCCTTCTTCTCTCCCTCTCTGGTCGTCTCTCTCTCTCTCTCTCGTGTGTGTCTCTCTCTCTCCCTTTCTGCCTCTGTTTTCTTTTACGTAAAAGAAAATCCTCCAGACCAATACATACATATATATACATGTACTAAATCCTACCCTGAGTGATGGAGAACAAGGCGCAAACTGAAAAGCTAAAACTGACCCACCCTTCTCACCGGAGAAGCGGAAAAGAAAGATTGAATTAGGGATATTAGTAAATTAGGGTTTTTATTTATGCTTATGGTTCTTTTAATAATGTTTTAATTTTAGGGGTATTTCAGTACTTTGTTGTTTTAGGGCTTGTTTATGCTTTGTTCATATAAAGGGCTTAAATATAATTAGACAAATCAGTTTTTTGAAATATTGGATATTATCGTTGAGTTTGCGAACTCCCTTTGTGTCTCTTCTCCCTCTTGTTCTTGTTGTTCTTAATCCCTCCGTCTATCTATCCTACCTCCTTTAATCTGATTCCCATCCCTATTCGTCTGTCTTCTCACCTCCTTCGTCTATCCTCATCTCATCTTCTCATTCTCATCCCCTTCTTTCTTTCTAGATTCTATAAGTTATTACTTGTCCTGCGTCACTAAGTCTGATAAGAGAAAATAATAATAATAATAATAATAATAATAGCAATAAAAATAAAACATGACATAATAATATATATACACACATAACATGTAACATGAATTAAAAATATAATCTCTATTATATATATATACACACACACACACACATCCAATACCATGGGCCCTAATATCTCCACCTATGCCTTCTCCAACACTTCAAGACCCAATCCGTAAGCCCAAAAAACTAAAGCCCAAACCATTACTAATTTGAATAAAATAAAATAATGTTTGTGTATATACACGGAGAGAGAAATAATATAACACAAAATACATAAAATAAAATAAAAAATGCTTCTGAACATAAAGCATTTAAACCTTTTCTATATGATAAAATATTTGTGTGTGTGTGCGTATAATTATATGTGAACTAGATAAATAAAATATGTGCCTATTTACTTACATGTACAACAATTTATTATACTTGAATATATAGAGGAAATGGATATACCTGTTGTTTCTACAACAATATGATCAAATTCATCACGCTTCTTCTTAACCAATTCCAAAAGCAATTTGACCAGATCTCCGCGCACGGTGCAGCACAGACAACTATTATTAACCATGGCTATATTATCATTAGAAGAGGAGTGACTAGCAACCAATGAACCATCAATATCCATCTCACCAAACTGCAATGAAAATAAAAAATTAAAATTAAAAAAATAAAATAAAGAAAAATGGAAATCAATTATATATAAGTACCAACATCACCAAGCACATTTTTAGCATATAGTATGCTACCAACAGTAGTTACAGTCTTTTCATTGGTAAAATCTTAGCACAAAATCTCAAAAAAAATGCTACAAACTACATCAAAACAAGTAAGCTTGCTATATATACTACCAGACGATGTTCAAGCAGTCTTTTGTTTAACAAACAAGAAATTAAGGAAAAACGAGAAAAAAGGCATAAGAAAGTGAGGTTTTACTTGAACAAGCAGTAGAAGTGTAAAAAAATAAAAGTTCAGTTTTGAGTATAGACAAGAAATTGGCCTCTGGCTACTCTAGACTATGGGTTAATGTTCACGTTTCACAAACTTTTCAATAGAAATAACTTTTTTTTTTTTATTGAATATAGCAAACAGCATAATCCTTCGGTGGCTGATTGGTGTGCGGTACGTCATTACCAGCATGAGACAATGCCAACAACATACATATATGAAAAGTTTGACAACAACAACCAGGAAACAAGGGGTTTCAAAATAGTGATCCACTAGAGTCTTACACCAATTATGTACTAGAATCAGCATTTTGGTTTTGGTTATCTAAAGACGAATTAGAATTCAATGTCACTCAATCCATGAGATATCAGCATATTTATCATAATTTTGACTTATGGCACCACCATTCCCCATGTTATACATTTAATTAGGGAACTTACAGATAAGTGATGCTACCTATCCTCGGGATACACTTAAGATGTTACTACATTTTGAGATTGTACAGTGAAAGATCATGATGTCAATAGTTCAATAGTTACAATGAACAATCACATTTGTATCAATCGCAACCACTGCAATCGCTATCAGATCACAATCAGATTTCTTTCTCTTTGCAACTTGAATAGCTTCTCTTCTTGCAACTCTTCTATCACATAGCTTCTCTTCTTGCAACTCTTCTATCACACCATCAGTACGCATCATCAATAGCAAACCCTAATCGCAGACAACTGCAGCACATTATCGTTCTTCTCCTTCTGTTCCAATTGCACATCTACCTCGGTTCTTTGCAAACAGTAGCTCCACTTCTTTCACAATTGCAACAACCTCTGTTCATCTCGCTTTCAGTCCACATTTGGTTCTCGCATACAATTTTATAGCATCGATTCTCTCTCTCTCTCTCTCTGTGTTTGCCACAGCAGTTTGTTTCTCTTCAATCTCAAACCCTAATTGATATCAACCGCAACAATTGCATCGAAGCAATTGACTTGGATTCTGTTTGCAATTTTAGTTCGTCTTCACATCAAGAATTTATTCAATTCGCTTGATTCTTGGAATCTTTCAACTCAGTCGAGATGCAGACTAGAGATGATAAGTAATTTATTCAAGACAAGAACACCATCATCTCTAGTCTGCATCTCGACTATCCCTCCCTTCACCGTCCACGACTCGCTCTTTGAATAACTAAAACAATAATTTTCTTTTTATTCTTTTCGTTGACAATCTATCTCTTCGTGGAAGAAGTGCTAGTCTGAAGATGGTACGAGAAGTCCTAATAATCTATGGTAGAGATGAAAAGAGGCAAAGTATATATTTATTAGTTTATTTGCTTGTGACCTTGCCATTGATCCTACTAATTAGGACTGTCGCGTAGAGATTGAGAAATACAAATTTAGCATTGTTAATTTTTTATCTATGAAAATAATCTGGAACACATTTTAACCTTATAAAGACTTGAACTCAAAACGTTTCACTTTGAGAGGTAGAGGAGATACCACTGAGTTACTTCCTTTGGTGATATATTTAGCAGTCTTGCAACATTCATGAAACTAGTTGACGACATTTGTGAATGTATTTTATGAAAATATTACCAATCTACAATTAAGTTAAATATTAATTTAGGTGAATTTTCTTTTTTATCTCCTTACAGTTCAAAGTCACCTCTACTGAAATAAATTTTTGGTTCCATCACTGTATGTCACAATCATCAAGTATTAGAAAAGTTGTTCAAACGGAGGGGGGGAATTGCTATTCAAGATGAACATAAAACTCATCCTTTAATTTCTTTATTTCTACCTTCTTGTTTTTTGTATTATGAAGCTCCCGTGCAAATGAGACATCTTTTTTCCTTTTTGTTTTTGTTTTTCTTTTTCCTTATTTTTGTTTCAGACCACAACAGGAAGAAATTTGTTTTATGAATAATTTATCAAAGCTTGAAAAGCAATGAAGCATGTTATGTTTAATGCAAAGCTTTATGTTTACCATCATTAAAAAGTTTCAAGACCAGAACCTACCATAATAATCTATAATCAGTTAAAATAAAACCATCAGATTTGTTTAAAAGAATTTATTGCAGCAGGCTAGTGGGATGTGTTTGACAACAGTCACAACATCACCAATGGGGTGCTTCAATATCTCCTTCAGCAACCTATTCATGGGGGAGATGATAAGTTTGGATAGCACTCCAAACAATACACATTTAAATCTGTATAGAATGCATGCAGGGTCAAAGGGGGAGACATAGATGGTCAACCCATACTGTTTTGGTATTACAGATTTCTATCCTTACCAACTTGTATCTTCAACAAAGAGGGATATCTCTGGTCTCAAGATGTTGTTTGTGCTATAAAAACATAGAAGATGTGGACCACCTTTTTTGCTGTTGTGAGTTTGCTTGGCAGGTGTGGTCGAACCTGTCATGTGTTTGCCAATGGAATTTACAGAGCTACTTTTCAATCAATGATATGGCTCAGGATCTTACTCAACAATTCTCAGGGAGCTCAATCAGAAACAAAATGTTTAAAATTATCTTCGTTGCTGCATTGTATTTTCTTTGGATGGAGAGGAATGATAGACCACACAACAATAAGTCCAAAGACTCAACTGAATTGGCTAAATGTATTCTGTAGGAAGTGATGGACATTGTGGGGGTTTGCCTGCACGATGTTCTTGATTTTATTAACTAGTTAGCTTGTTTCCAAGGGCCTGTCCTAGGATTCTTTTCCTTTAAGGATTTTCTGTCTTGTGTGGGGGGTATGCCCCCACTCTTTCTCTTGTACTATATTGTGTATATTCATAAAAACTTTCCTTCATTTAGGAAAAAAAAAAACCATTAAAGCTAGTAGCAAGAAAATATACAGTTCAGCTCTACAAGTCTTGGAGGGGCAGGGGAGCAAAACATACATAAATAGTTGAAATTACTAGAGGTAGGGGGGATGGGGGAGGGTGGGAGAGAGAGATGTATACTCCAAAAAAACTCAAAGCAGTAGCCCAAAATTCGGAGTTTCAAGACAGGTAGACCTTAATGCCTCATTTTCAATGACAGCGATCCGTTTCCCATGTTGAGATGTCAAGATATGACTCAACAGAGTGGTCTGCCACAGTACGAATGATGTAAGCAAGATTTTTAAGAATAACAGAAGCAAAATTCAATAATTGGACCCAAATGCACAATTTTAACAATAAGTAGTGCATGAAAGCTTTCATATCTTCCAAAAACCAATAGCACAACCTATATCAAGCCAAAGCTTAATATAGTCTCTTTACCTAGCATAAATACATACATTAACACATGTTCAATTTTTTTACTTTTTTACATCTGAAATTTACACTTGTCCCCTTGAAAAGCAAAACAAAAACAGAACATGCATACAAAAATAACTGAATACTTACATATTTACACATATTTTCACATGTGGGTTCATTTTAGCGTGTGTGATTTAAATAATAGTACATAATTCTGCTTAGTTCTCAAATTAAACAATTCAGGAAAAAGAAGTAATTATAAATGCCATTGATAAAAATGTTCTTATTTAATGTAGTACCAATATCAAAACCCTCGTTATTAGGACCAGCCACAAAATCCTCGAACTCAAGAGCCTAATAAATTTATTGGCTTAGTTCCAGAGTTTTGTTTTGATACAAAGATAACATATAACCAACAAATTGTTATATATATTTTCTTTTCCACAGTTCTCCTCAACAGCCACAGAGAAATAACAAATGGCCCCAAAATGTCGAACTTTTCTTCTCCTCAGTTTTCTCAACAGCCAAATAGAGGCTCCCAAATCAAAATATGAAATAAATAATCAGAATAACAACGATATTAATCCTTTCAAACAGAAAAATCTAACCTTTCTAGAACCCCCAGAAAGCCGTCGATCACCGTGGCGGGAACCTGATTATCAAGATTTAACGCAGCGGCAACAGATGTTTCGGCGTCTTGGGGTTTGTAGTTGGGGGAAGACGACATGGCCCTGTAATTTGAGGGATGGAATTGGAATTCTGTGGAAACGAGAGAGTGAAGGGTTCTGAGGAACTTTGAGATACTGGGAGTGTCATTGCAACGACTATGATGGAGAGTTTGGTAGAGGTTTTGGGATATCGTTCTTGAAAACAAGAACCTTGTGGCCATTGCAGAAAAAGTTTGTGAAATGCAGCGAATGGGGGTTTGTTTGGAGAGTGAGAAAGTGGAGAGCTAAAAACCTAAAACCCTAGAATGGTGGTTTGTATGGTTAAAGAGTTTAAAACCAGAACGCATTCGATTGCATTTATACCGCAACGTTATTAAATCATGAAGAGTTTTTAATTTTTAGGCTCTATCGATATAGTGCATATCAGTCCCTGTGTAGTAAAAAAACCCCCTTATACTATCAATTTGGTGCGATTGGGTCCCTAGTGGTGTAAAATGACGATAATACCCTCACTTCAGTTGAATAAATTAATGATTATAATACCGGCCAGGTAAAATGACCCTTTTGTCCAAATTTGTGTAAAATGGGGTTTGTTTGGCAGAAGGATAATATAAACCTGAAATTGTATAAAATTAGGATAACTTAAACCTGAATATAATTAAATCTAAAACCAAACATGCCCCAACTATATAAAACACACTTAACCATTTTAAACCCTAAGTCTGCATTGTATACGAGAGAGGCCGACTCTAAATTCCTTAGTGTTCTGAAACCCTAACCCGTTTTTATGTGTATTTGTTCTCTAAATCGATTGAATCTTTGTATTTGTTTATTGATCGGTTGAAGATAACTTGCAAGAGTTGTAAAGTCGGTGAAAAATCGATTGTGGTGTTGTGCTGTGGCGTTGTGAAAACTCCTTCGTGTCGTAAGTGTTCTTAAATCAAAACTTTGTTCTTAAATCGTGTTATTTATGTTAGATTTGTGTAAAATTTTGCGCTATGAAGAGTTGTAAACTTACTGAATGTTTTGTATGATTATGTGGTTCGATTTTGTTTCAACATTTGTTAGGGTTTTCTTATTCTTCTTGTAAATTGTTAAATGTTTTCTGATTTAGTTCTTAAATCGTGTATGCATGCATGGTCGATTTTGTTTCAACATTTGTTAGGGTTTTTTTTTTTATTTTTTTCGTATTTATTTCCTAACAGTTAGGGTTTTTGTAAACAATAGTGGGTTTATCATTTTTTTCTTATATTCTCTTGCAATTTTGGCCTTTATATATGTTTGTGTCATGTATGTACGATTCAGTGGTGTTAGGGGTTTGTCAGTAGGTTGGTCCATTTGTGCTTTTTGCCTATAGATTCAGTATAGATATATTTGTGTGACCCAATGCATGATTGTGACCCATATATGCCAAATATAATGATCTGGTCTCCATTTAAATTGGGGTTTTATGCTATAAAGTTTGGATTTTTATATACACATATGTTTGTTCAATGCAATATTGTGGGTTGATTGACTTTATTAATTTATTGTTAGGGTTTTGTAAACAATAATGGTCCCTTGCCTTTATGCTTTATCCAATGCATTATAGTGGGTTGATTGACCTTATTTATTGTGAGGGTTTTGTAAACTATAGTGGTCCCATGTGTATAGAAAATGCGGAGCTTTATATTGGGTCCAAGTGCTACAAACAGTACCTCAGAATAATTGTGTTTTGTTTATTTATACTTTTGATGGAATGTTTCTATATGTAATGTTGGGTCCATGTCTTTATTATTTATATTATTTATACACTAACATTATTTTTAGTGCATGACATGCATATTGCATGATGGATCCATAGATCCCGCTCTGATATGCATGCATGCTTGTGACAAAAGCTTATATAGTTGTAGTTTGTGATGTCTTTATTATTTATATTATTTATACACTAACATTGTTTTTTAGTGCATGACATGCATATTGCATGACGGATCCATAGATCCCGCTCTGATATGCATGCATGCTTGTGACAAAAGCTTATATAGTTATGGTTTGTGATGTTTTTATTATTTATATTATTTATACACTAACATTATTTTTTAGTGCATGACATGCATATTGCATGACGGATCCATAGATCCCGCTCTGATATGCATGCATGCTTGTGACAAAAACTTATATAGTTGTGGTTTGTGATGTCTTTATTATTTATATTATTTATACACTAACATTGTTTTTTAGTGCATGACATGTATATTGCATGACGGATCTATAGATCCCGCTCTGATATGCATGCATGCTTGTGACAGAAGCTTATATAGTTGTGGTTTGTGACGGCTTATATTTGTATGGTTGTTTAGTAAATGGGGAAGACATATATACTTCAATTGCATCATTCGGGAAAGTTAAATGAACGCAACAACTATGTTGGTGGTAGCATATAGCTAGTTGACAATGTGGACCCTGACATGATGTCTTACTTTGAATTGGAAGACATGGTGGATATGCTATAGTTGGGTGAGAGTAAAATGTTCTATAGAGATCCTATTGGTGGGCACTTGATGCAGATAATTAATGATGGGAGTGTTATGCAGATGTTTATGGCCTACAACAGCTCATCTTTGATTAAGATTTATGTCACTAATACTGAGAATAAGGATTATAAGTTTAGTGCACAAGTTCAGCATCGGTGGACAGAATATTTAACCCAATCAATGGATGACAGTGACCATGTGCAGCCTAATAGTGAACATGTGCAGCCTAACAGTGAACATGTGCAGCCTAACAGTGACCATGTGCAGGCTGCAAGTGTTGAAGAAAATGTGCACAATGATGTCTCAGTTGATAAAGAGGATGAAATATATAATGGGGAAGATAGTGAAAAATTAGATGATGTCTCAGTTTATGCACCAAGTGATGAGCTATGGAGTATCCATAGTGACTCAGATGATGAGATACATATTCCTTGCAAAAAATCAGAATTTATTGCTAGGAGGGAAATGGGAGAGAAGGAAAAAATATTAATGGTGGGAATGGAGTTTGCTACATTTGTAGAATTTAAAGATGTGTTGAGAGAGCATGCTATCAAGAACAAATATGACATCAAGTTTGTTAAAAATGATGGAAAAAGGGTCACATGTATATGTAGAAATGAGTATGGGTGGAGGATACATGCTTTAAAGAGAAAATCAAATGGTGCCATTGTGATTAGTACATTCAATGATGAACATAACTGCTCTGAAGTTCAAACAAGCAAACTAGCAACATCTTCTTATCTTGCAAAGAAGTATGTGCATAAGTTTAGGAGGGACCTTAAGTGGAAAAATTCTGGTTTTATGGGTCATATTATTGATGATTTGAACCTGCTAGTTAGTAGGTTCAAAATTTATAGGGCAAAGAGGAAATGTCAGCTGATGATTGATGGCACACATGAAGATCAATTCTCAAAAATCAGAGAGTATTGTTAGTTGGTATTTGAGACAAATCCTGGAAGTGTTGCTAGGGTTGATGCATTTTTGGAGCCAGAAGGGAAATCTACAAGGTTTGAGAGACTGTTTTTCTCATTGAATGCAATGTGGAGAGGCTTTAAAGATGGTTGTAGGCCATTCATTGGCTTAGATGACTATTTTCTAAAAACTCATTGCAATCAATATTTACTAAGTGCTATTGGTAGAGATGGGGACAATAGCTTCTATCCCATTGCAATTGGTATTGTGGAAGGAGAGACAAAGGAGACTTGGGATTGGTTTCTGGACAACCTTATGGATTTGCTTTGCCCCCACAAAGAAATAACGTTCATTTCAAATAGACAAAAGGTATGTTAGAAAAGTATTTTAGTTTTTAGATAGTTTAAAATTCTTTTACAGACTTTCAGTTTAAAATACATTTTCAGATAGTTTAAAATTTCATTTACTGATATTATGATTTTATTATAGGGTTTGGTTGACACACTTGAGAAGCTTGGGTCAGATCACAGATTCTGTGTAAGGCACATGTATGACAACTTCAAAAAGAAGTTCCCAGGAGTTGAAGCAAGAGTTATGGGATGCAGCAAATTCTTTCACAGTGGCAGACTTTCAGGGACACATGCAGAGAATCAGGGAAATTAACACCGATGCATATGATTGGTTGGCCAAGATACCCCCTCACCTGTGGGCTAAGTGTAAGTACTCAGAATGGTCAAAGTATGACCTTAACAGCAATAATATGTGTAAATTATGGAATTCATACATACTAAAGGCTAGAGATAAACCCATCATCACCATGCTTGAAATGATTAGAAAGTCCTTGTTGAGGAGGTATCAAGAGAAAAAAGAGTACATGGAGGGGAAAATAGGGTTATTGTGTCTAGCTCCAGCAGCTCAGCTAAAACTGAACAAGAGGAACTCAGTGAGTTATCCTGCTCACCTCTTTGGAAAAGGCATTTATAAGGTTGAAGATGGAGGAGTGAATGAGACTGTTAATTTACATTAAAAAAAAAAAAAAAAAAAGCTGTACTTGTAGGGCATGGGATGTCACAGGTATCCCATGCAAGCATGCATGTGCAGCTATACAAAAGAGAAGAGGGGCAATTCTTGAAGACTTTGTTGACCCATACTTTTATAAGGAAACATTCTTGAAGTCATATGCAGGGATGATATATCCACTGACATTGAGAAATATGAGAGAAGTAATTGGGGTGGTTCCAATTATTCCTCCTATAGCTAGGAAACCCCCAGGCAGACCAAAGAAATTGAGGAAGAAAGCTTGTGATGAAGGTACATCAAGTGGAAAATGTGTGTACAAACAAAGGGCTCACCTTATTTGTGGAAAATGTCAATTAACTGGTCACAACTTAAGGACCTGCAAAAATGAACAAGTGCAGAGAGGACCACCTAAAAGCAAAGGAGGTAGACCCAAAAACCCTCAACTTGGAGTATTGCATGTTCAAAAGGCTACTGAAACTGTTCTTAATGGCAGTGGTGGTGTTGGGAGTAACAGTGCTATGGGCAGTACTTCAGTGAGTGTCAGTACTTCAGTGAGAGTGAGAGACATTGGTGTTGGGAGTAGGAATGGAATTGGTAGAATTCTTGGGAGTAACAATGTGTTGGGAAGTACTTCACTGAGAGGTGTTGGTGGCACTACTATGGGGATGCATGGGACTGACAGTGGTGTTGGGACTAACAATGCTATGGGAAGTAGAGGTGCTGTGAGAGGCAGGGGTGGTAGAGGTGCTGTAAGAGGCAGGGGTGGTGGCAGT